TACGGCCAACCAGCCTCCCTTACATCCCATGGCAATTCCTTTGTCTCCCTTTTCGCAACTCAATCTGTTGTCCATTCTGTCGTCGCTATTCTTGCTGCCCATATCCAACCCGTTACAGTACATTCTCCTTCTTGTATTCACGGAATATTCCAGCCATTAGCATCACCCTTTTCCGAAACTATTTTATCCCCGCTTCGTCAATCCAGAACCTTCGTGCCTCCCTCCTGGCTGGAGCTCCAAGTCAGGCATGCGCCATCTCAGCTTGGGCGCCCTGCCTTCCTTCCAATGAATTTTCCTTGTGCATGACTCAGCAGTGCTGCATATCGACAAACTTTCAGTGAGTTTCATACTCCAAAAAGTTGACATGAGCTCACCATGTCCAGATACCTGACGACTCTGTTGATATCTACGCATGTATATAGAATATAAAAGTCGTCGTTCGTTCTTCTTTCCAGCCACACTCAACTTATGCTTTCTTTTTGTTTCTCCTTTGTATTGGTTTACTAATCCTAACCTGTCTCAGTCAGACGCCCTGTCTGTCACCAAGATACACCATATTAAAGTAACAACGTTCGGGTTGCTAAACTATGATAAAATGAACACAATTAAATATACTTCCTCCGTCGAAATTTCAGGTCAGTCCATTGAATATTGATGATTTGGCAGCACTTTGTAGTAGGGTCCTCCCGGCAGAAACCTACCCGTTTTTTTAACAAAGTCACCGAAAGAGTTGTTTTTCGTGATGGCGAGGAGTACGACTTTTCGGCGGCCAAACAAGACCGCCCATGCAAAACTATCCATGCCGTTTGGGCAGAACCTTGGAGGGGTCCCTGCAAAGAAGCAAAGGGGCGACAAGGTCGACCTGAAGGGGGCGTCAAAAGTAGTGGGGATGAGTATTTTTCCACAAAAATTGGCAGTCAAGGGTTTTGGGATCCAATCTTTTCGATTCTGGCTTTTATTAGTACTTTGGAAGCCGTTTCGGTAACGAAATTTTCCTTTCAAATAGAGGACCATTAATCTTGGACAGAGGAAGTAGCTTATTATACACCTCACTCAGCTGGCCCCCCGTTAGGCCCAGGACCAAAAAAGAGGGGAGTGCATGCCTTAGAAACTCCAATTACACAAGAAGGCTCAGGATGACGACCAATCCCATCTACAGTACCTGCTGCCGCTGCTCGAGCTCTTCCAGCATGCCATAAATGACCAACAAAAAAGAAGAAAGCGATTACGAGGGGCCCCAATGGACGATATGTACCCGTACCCCAATAGGCACCTGATACCATGGACCTACCGCACCCGATTCCACTACGACCACGTGGCAAAGGGCGGTCAGACACGCGTCAGTACACCCAAAGTACTGGGAATCCATGACAGATATGCAGCCATGATAGCCGCGGGGGGGCCATATCGCCCCCGGAGTATGGCAAGGTGGGCGGGCAGTATGCCATATATACACAGAGCGGCACAAGAACCTACAGCTCATTGACAACTGATGCCAGGGAGCCTATCTCCCTCAAAAGAGGCCAAAATCAAAAATGAGACATCTAACTACTCAGGAGGAGAAATGCAATGCAATGATGCACTGCATGCCTATTTCTAATCAAGAACGATGAAGAAACGAGCCCAGAAAGCTATTAGCATAGGGACCACAAGGAACAAGTGGCATTCGTCAACGAAAAAACAAGCACCTTCGGAGGGCCTAGAATTGGGGGATTTTGTGAAGAAACATGTGAAATATCTCTGCAAAAAGCCAAGGAGGACTCCTCAATTATTCCTCATAAATAGTTTTGGGTGTTCTTAATAACTTTTTGCATGTTGCATCACCAGTTTGGCTCAAGAACATCTGGATTCTGCGCATGGTGCATGGCGAACAATCGGCAAACCCTAGGCATTGCAGGTGACTGTACGAGCTGCGAGACTGCCCAACATGGTTGCGGAAGGCAACATCAAGTCTCCTGAGGTGGTTTTGGCGTAGGAGAGGAGGGCCGGTTTGGGCCTACCCTCTCAACATGACGTGGAGCTGAAGATAACTGAGCTCGAATCCTTTATGACCCCAAGAAATCGTCTCATGGGTGGGGATGAGTATGTCATCGGCCCTGGAGGAGCGCCCATCTACGATGTGCCTTGGCTGACCGCATGCTATCTCAAAGTTGTCCGACTTCTGACATCATGTCTGTCTCCGGGCCGCCTCCATTGCGCCAGCCAATGGAGGAGCGAACAGTGGAGCGTTCATGCCGGTCAAACGATCGAGGGGTGCTGCCATGTCGGTCATGCACCATTTTCAATGATAAATATGTTTGACAGATGGAAAGCATTTTAACGCGCATAATGTGCAAAATGCCATGCAACAATACGCACCGCAACATGCTGAATTGTGAAAGGTGCCACGCAAGCAGGCCGTTGTCAGCCAATAGCCCACATTTGGCCATGTACAGGCACTCAGTGCGCTCAGGACTCAACGGATGCTAGCGGGAGGGATGGGTGGGGTGGGGGAGTTGGGAGGAGGCTGGAACGGCCTCAACTGCGTGCGGATAAAACTTGCAAGTGCTTTTGACGATTCACCGGCCTCCACCAGCTCCCCCCTCTCAGCCCCGGCTCTCTCGACGGGTCGCTGTGGCCGTGGCTCATGGCCAGGGGAAAGTGCCGCGAGGCCCATAGCTTTTGTCTGGAGGGCAGAATGTTTGAGGGGTTGCAGATGGTGGTGATTGGTGACGTATGGGTCACGGTGAATAGAGGAGGCCATTGGAGATTGGTGCGTTGCAATTGCCGGGCCATCACCACCCAGATCGACCGATCGGCGCCCACGGAGCAATGGTGACAGCACGCAGGAGAAACGACGCCGGCCAGGGGCGCGAGCTGGCACGGGGGTTCTGGGGTTGGGTGGGTGGGGTATGTGGCAAGCGCGCAGCGGACACTGCACCTCCTTGACTTCTTGTGTAAGGCCGACAGGCAGTTGCATTCCGTGCGTGCTGTGGTCCGAGTTACTGCTAAGAGTACCACGCCTTCAAGCGACAATGGACAGGTGGTGACGGTGAATGGCTGCACCACGTTGTGGCGACCCAGCGCAAGCATCAGATCCTGCTTTGATGCAGAGGGTGGAGACACTGCCACAACCGATCAGGACGAAGCACTCTCGCCAGAATTGTCTCCAGGCTGCCGTTCAATACTATGTACAGTCGTTAAGCATTGGGAGGAGACGATATACCATTCAATTGAATCCGCCTGTGTGCGCGCACATTTGCTGACCGCGATTCAAAACGAGTTTGTATACAGACACCGATAATTCAGTACGAGGACTGGGGTGAGTGCCACGCTCAGCGTGTTGTCGTGTTTGAACAAACATGTCCAAAGATATTTCAGACAAGCAAACCCGGCAAAAGCATAGAAAGCCATCGACCTTACAACCAGCAGAGCGGCCGTCGAGCACGTAGCCAGTCCCACCCCCAACAACATACAAAGTACAATATTTCGTCACAATGTTCCGCCCACGCCGAGTTTGCCGATCTGGAATGTCGACACAACGTCGCTATCACTACACAGACGGCAAACAGAGAAGATCTCGTCCAGCCAACAATGTGCACGGGCGGTGCGTGTTCATTCCTAGTCGTTCGCAGAGTGTTCGTGTACAAGAAGACAAAAATGCTTGAGGCGTCCCTCGAGAGTTCAATTTGTGTACATGGAAACGTTCAACCCCAGCGGTAAACAGTAGGGACCAGAGTGTGCCTCAAACACCCAAGCTAATCCATAATACCCAAGCCATGCAAAGTTCATAATATTCAGCCACACAGATTCAGATCCTGAGGAACAGCCATTCCTCGTTGCCAATGGGGACATGATGACGACTCTTTGCCTGGCAGAACACCGGCAGCTTCCAAGACCACTGCAATAAAAAATTCAGGACGTATACACAGCACACCTTCATACATTCCTACATCCTCCAAGGACAGCCCCCTGTGCCTGGGGCCGGTTCTGCCTCAACACATCTTGGCCACTTTTCGACCTGCCATTCCTGCAGCTCGTGCGTGCACAACAGTTGGAGCCACCCTGGCCCGGTGACCATCATCAGCTGCTGTAAGGTGCAAGGGGTCTGCATCGCCAACAACCAGAACAGGGCTGTCAAGGCACTGTAGGATGCTCGCTCTGTCGCTGCAGCGACCCGACAAAGCAGTGCTGAGTGAGGATGGGCCGGCATTGGGCGGATGGTGGTTTGGGGGGGCATTTGTTCAAGTGGCCCAAACGGTCCTACTGGTGGTCCAGTCGTCAAGGCGGTTGCATGATCAAAGTGGGGACAGCTCGCCCCGCCTATGAGTTCCCTCTTGGGCCTTTCTCTTTGCCCTTTCTTTCGATTTGTCATTCAAGGTATCGCTTGGATCGGCCCCGACCCCCTGGACATATGCTCTGCAGCCGACTAGGGGGAATGCATCCCTGCGCCTTAAAACATAATTTCCACGCAAAACACATACGGCCACTAGCAGTGACGGGCCCACAGTTGATAGGCCGGTCGTGGCAAGCCTCACACTCGCCACAACCTTACCGAGGCCCTCCCACGCTCGGCTCACTGGAACCCAGCCCCATGAGAGAGCCTCCCACTGCGAGAAGAGTCGAGTCGCGAGGGAGCTGAACACAGCTTTCGCCGCTCAACACCCTGCACCCAGACAATCCAATCTCGCGGGTCCGATGCGCGTCGACGTGCGCGGTGCCGTCGCGCATCGGATGACGCATGGCGCGAACACTATGGCCACACATTTCCCAACCCCTGCGCCCCCGCGCCATCAAACACGTCACAATCCGCGCGTCTCGAACCGCGATGGGGATTCAAAGCCGTCCGCCCGACCTCCAGCCGTCCCTACCCATGTCGCCGCGCATCCTCCGCAACGCGCACTGGCCCTCACCGCCCTCTTACGAAGGCAAGCCCGCCCCAAACTCGCCCACAAAAACAGCCATCTGCCGACGAGCCTGGCGATCCCCGCGCACCCACCTCGGACCCTAGCTCAACCGCCCTAGCTGGCCGCGGCCTGAACCGGCCGTCGGCCGGCGCCCGCAGCGGCCGGGCCCTTGGCGCTCGGGCGTGGCCCCGTGAACCCCAGCACCACCACCAGCACCAGGTTCACCATCGACAGCATGATCAGCCCCGCCATCACCACGTCGAGCTCCTCTTCCCTGGACTCGATCTGCACGTAGAATTTGGGGTCCGTCTCGTAGAGCTGCAGCACAGCCTCCAGCTGGCTCCACAGCTGGAGCGACGCCACGGCCACGAGCGCCGAGACCGCCACGCGCGTGTGCCCCAGTGTGCCAGCCAGCGTGAGCGCGAACGCGGCGAACAGCACGCCAGCCTCCAGGCAGGCCGCCCACCAAATGGGCCGGAACGTGTCCGCGCAGCTGGAGGGGAACCGAGAGGCGTCGCAGTCGGCATGCAGGCCGCCGGCGCCGCCCACGGTCAGGCCCAGGCCGATCGTGCCCAGGATCGAGCACAGGCACAGGAAGAAGATCGCTGCGCCATTGTTGTAGATCGGGTCCGCCATGTGGCCAAGAGGGCTTCGGCGGGGCGCGCCTGGGGAGCCCGGCCCTGGGCGGTACTGGGCAGTTGCGCGAGCGGGTCAAGAGGGCCCCCCCGGAGTAAGGCCGCGTGCGGGGGAGTGTGATAATAACGGGATTGCCCGCGGCCCAGGAACATGAACACGGCGGGGATTGCGGGGGTGAAAGGAGATTGAAACTTGTGGTACTGAGTGTGATGTGGGTCCAGCATCAGACAGTGATGAGTCGCGTCATGGGGCTGGATGCCCGGCTGGAGATAAGAAGAGTCGAAATGAAAAAGGCTGAGCCGCCTGAAACGGATACGGGCTTCAGAGGGGGGGGGGGGAGATGCGGCCGGGATTAGGCGATCGCCAGGCTGGATCTCGCAACCACTTGTTGCTTGTCTGTGCACGCAAGCAGACCAGCAGAAAACGACCATTTGCCGGAGAACGAGTTGCGTGTGCGTGGAAAGAGTACCTTCTCGTTGTGCTCGCCCTGCCATCCCGTCTACATCCGCTCTTCTTGTGGAGAACATGTTACTGAATATGGCGCTCATCGGCAGTACAGTACATTCCAACTAGAATATCCCAAAATTTTCTAGGCCGCGCCGGCGCTGCGCTGCGGTGCACGATCCCCAACTGCTCAATCAAGGATTCGAGACTGGGCCCGCTGGGGCTCTTCTAATACCGCTGCGAATCTTCCATATCCGATTCCGAGCCCACGCCACACGAGGGCCGTTGGAGCAAATGGGGAACCGGGTCGAACCGATCAACCTGCACGGGCACGTGGCCACCGTTTCACCGCATGTGACGCTGTCCTGAGCTGCCCCACTTCCGTCTGTTCTCTAGTGACGGCTCGCTGAAAGGCGACCACCATGCAGAGCGCACTGAGGAGCGCGCCCCACAACCGCCACTCCGCCCAGCGCCGGCACTCCGCACTATCGTTGAGCCAAAAGCAACGCTCCGCGATGTCCAGATTGACGACAACTGACGTCCCGTCGTGCTGCGCTCCGTGCGCAAACCTTGCCAGGGCACCCCTCCCTCGTGGCCGATAGCGCAAGTTTGCCCTCCGCCAGCGCCGCTTTTGCATGCAAATTCAAGGACCTGGCCAACGGCGCCCAGTGCGCGGCTTCACACGGCCTCCAACCCGCGCGATGGCACCTCAGCGACAGCGTTTCAGCCCTGCGCCCCGCGCCCTGTGTGCCCGCCGCCTGTGCGCGGTTCGACAGCCGGTACGGAGGGAGCGCAAAGCATGTTCGGCCGCGGCAGCGCAGTGGGCTTCCAGCGCGCCGCCGTCGCGCACTGGGTCGTGGCAACTCAAACTGGCAAAGGTAGCGACGAGCAGGACATGCCGACGGACGTTTATCGGTCCAACGCCAACGCCAACGCGACAAAACACACGCAAAGGCAAACGCAAACGCCGACACCTACGGAACAATACGAACGCCGACGCCTGACGCCGCATGTGCTACGCGTACTACCATCCCAGGGCCGTCGTGGCTTGGGTTTCAAGGGCCCAGGCCACGTGGCCACTGTTGGCCCAAAGACGGCCAAGCCACGTCGCCAAATTTGGAGGCGGCGCGACCCTGCGGCCCCTGCCAGCGCGGACGGCGCCCCTCCCACACCTCGGAGACCCTCATCGTACAAAAATAGGCGAGTGAGGGGCCGCGTGGTCGAAGCAACGCGGAGTCAGATACCCGTCGCGCAGCGCGCTGACGCACACCCGCCAGCGCGACGAGCGGCAAGTAACCCTAACCGCAACGACCGCCCACCAACTTGCACGGAAACCCTTGGGCCTACCGGCCGATACCTTCTCGCGGGAGGCCTGGTCCGCGCGGCGTGCCGCGCGACGGCAGGAAATAAAGGCCCCGCGAAATTCTCACGCAGTTCCGCCGCCGCCCCCACCCACCTTCCGCGCACCCGGCCACGGGATCCTTGGGCCCAAAATTCCCTGCTCAGGCCAGGGGCGCCGCGGCGCCCTCGATGTCCTTCTTCGCGGGCTCCTCCTCCGGCGCCACAACCGTGGCCACGATGATGACCAGCCAGCTGGCGGCCGACATGCAAATCAGCCCCGCCGTGAGCACCTTCACCGCGTCGTCCTCCTGGGTGACCACCTGCAGCAGGTCGCCCTCGAGCGGGCCGGCAAGCCCGCTGCGCTCGTCGCGCCACACCAACGACTTCTCCGTTGCGTCCATCAGGTCTACTGTGGACATGGCCACGAACGCCACCACCAGCAGCAGCCAGCGCGGGTTGGAGACGCGGCCCATGATCGACGACACGACGGCCAGGATCAGGGAGCCCGTGCCGAAGATGATGGCCCACCACTCGGAGCGGAACTCCTCGTCGCAGAGCTCATCGTCCACGTTGGCCAGGTCCTGGCACTCCTTGTGCAGGGTGCCCAGGCCACCGGCGCTCATGCCGATGCCGGCCAGGCCGATCAGCACAGTGGCGATCACCAGCGCGGTGTGGATGAGGGTGGCCATGGCGAGGGCGGCGGCGGGGACGCGGTGGGGGCGTGCCGGGGCGGGTGGGGGGCGGGGCGTGCCGGGCGCAGGGTCTTGAGGAAAACTCTGGAGCCCGGGGGCGGATTTATTCTGACGCGTTGTCGATTCCTACCGCCCAGCTGGCGCCACGCGGGGCAGATGATACGCTAGAATCGCCACGTCAGGGCTGCTAACGGCCGTGTCTGCGATACTCAGAGGGCTCAGGCGAGGCCATTCCGAAAATATCGCCGGTTTGCGGCGCGGCGCGAGGGCGCCGACGCGGCGGTGTGGCGGCCTTTTGCGGCGCAGCGCGCGTGTGCCGCGACGTCGGGCTCCCTGAGGCGCAGGGATGCGGTTATTAGCGCGAATTTTTTCGGTTGGGTGAATCGGATGCCTGGCGATCCTGCGGGCGCGAACGACGGCCGTGGAACGCGGTGCGAACGTCGAACGAGCCGTTCGGCACGACGGATAGGCGATTCGCACCGGAGGCAATTCCCTCCCGGCGTGGTGCCGTGTCTCACACCGGGTGAAAGACAAACAGCGGATGACCGCGACCAGACATGCCGCGCCACGGGAACTCCCCGCCACAGCAGAAATAACGCGATCCAACAACACGGATGTCCACTAACGAGGCGCCAAAGGAGAGACAAGCCGCAAAAATCCCATCAGCCCTCGGAACAAACACGCGCACGTTCGCCACAGCCCTAGTCCGACACGCGACACCCCGAAGCGCTGCGGGCCGCACAGCGCGCAGACAGGTGTCCGTCAGGGTGCCCGGCGGCGGTGCGCCGCCCGACCGTCGCCCAGCACGGAGGTTGTCAACGGCATCTCCGAGACGCACACCGCCCGAAGGTGCTAGATTCCGGGGGAAGGATGCCGCAGCGACGCCACCAGCGCGTGCCACCACGCCCTGTACACTAAGGCCCGGATGACTCATACCGGACCGACCTGGGGCCCGGCCGCCCACCCACATCGAATAACGGTATCAGCCAGGCGGCACCCAGCCAGGCGCCACGCGCCCGCCGACCTCCCCGCGCGAGCGCCGGCGCCAAGCGACCCACCCACGGATACCCAGTGGCAACCCCATGCACCGCCTTGCCGGCCACTGGCCAGTCCGAATCGCGGCCGTCCCAAGCACCCAAAAAATCCACGAAAGCTCACTCACAACATGCCAGCGCACCACCCACCTCCAAAACACGCCGCACGGCCACCCTCCCGCGCGTCCACTCAGGCCAGCGGTGCGGCCCCGTCCTTGTTTGCCAGCTGGCCAACCTCCATCATCGCCGTGGTGCAGATTATGATCAGCCAGTTGGCGGCCGTCATGCACAGCAGCCCGGCCACCAGCGCGTTGATCGAATTCTCCTCGTCGCGGACGAACGACAGCAGATTGTCGTCCAAGTCTCCCGTCAGCCCCCGGCGCTCGTCCAGCCACACCAGCGCCTCCTCCACGCCGTCCATCAAGTCCACGCTCGACATCACGACGAACGCCAGGACAAGGGCCAGCCAGCGGATGCCCTTCAGCCAGCCCCACCAGGCGCTCACCAGGACCAAGACGCCGGAGCAGAAGGCAAAGATGATCGCCCACCAGACGGAACGGAACTCCTCGTCGCAAATGTCGTCGTCCGCCTCGTACGCGGAGTTCTCCTTGCACTTATCGTGCAGGTTGCCCAGGCCCACAATGGACAGCACCAGGCCGCCCAGGGCGAAGGCCACGACCAGGAACCACATGGTGGTCTTGAGGATGGTTTGAGCCATTGTGGAGGCGGGGGCCCGTGGGCGGGGGTTGTGGGTTGGGGCGTATGTGTGCGCGCGCGACACGGGGCAGCAGGGGCCCGGATTGGTTTTCGGTGTCGGGGCGAGTGCATATCCGGTGAGGGGATTCGGGTTGCCAAGTCAGATACAGCACGGCGACGCGTGGTGCCCGACTGTCGGGGCCCCGGCCACGTTGGCCTGCGGCGCTGGCGCCGGCGGCCAATGGGTACCATGCCGGGGCCAGCAGGGGCGGTATCGAGATTTCAATGCTCCCATGATCCTGGCGTTCGCGAACGTTCGGCGTTCAACTCAGAGGGCTTAGCCCCCTGAACGGCCCGTTTTCTCGAAGGGACAGAAGCCCATCGCACGGCACAGGACATGAGAGGATCCCCAGAACGACCGACCACTGCTTGAGGCCGCGCAAAGCAGTGGCGCACACGATCCCCCCCGTCTCCAGAAAATGGTGGCCATTCCAGTGTTTGTGTGAACACGAGCCAATTTACGCGATATACTTGTTCAAAATATTCATTTCGTGCGCACATCGATCAGGTTGGAAAGCTCTCAAACCGGGCCTGTGTTCTCTGACTTCGCCTGGTCGCTCAAATTTGCACTGCGCCCTTGGCAAATCTCGCTGACGCTGAAACGCTGCAAATAACAATCCGTCAATGATTCGGTCACAACATTCTTGTCATTGAATGTACTACTCAGCTCACTCCGGATGAGCGCACCCGCTAGGCAAAAATGCCGGGCAGCATTCTCCCAAATGAGATTTGGACTTTGGCGTTTATGGCGATCGAATTTTGCACTGTTCGCATAGACTGCTGTCCAACATTACCTTGCGGGCTGAAGCACTATATTCTGCTTCTGCTGAACAAATGTGTTAAGAGTACTGGTACTCACACCCAGGCTTGGAAGATGAGGATACGGCTGAAAATAGTAATGTAGTAAAATACGTGCATTATCTCGTATTTTTGTTTCGGGACTGAAACTGCGTTAAAACGTATGGCAAGCGCTCTCACAATTACCGCCTTAATGACACGAAAAGTTTCAACAGTCAGCATTCATTGTCAAAACAAATCAGTCAATCAGCATCCATGTCTGACCCATCCATGGCATAGAGGTGGCCATTCAAGATGCCATCCGCTTCGTTAAATCCGGTTCGTTAATTTTTATCAACTGTTCGTTAAATTCCGTTGCAAAAAAAGGGAGAAAAATTCAGAAAAAACGAAAAAAAATCCAAAAAAATCGAAAAAAAACCCAAAAATTCACAACAACTGCGGCTAGTTAAAAATCTAGTATGCATAGGTTGAAATAAAATACAAACATGCTCTCTAATAGCGAATTCTATAAACTATAAGTATAAAAAAACCCAAAAATCCCCAAAAAATCCAAAAATCCGTTAATTTTTGGTTAATTTTTGTCTTTTTTCGTTATTTTCCGTTAATTAACGGATTAATTAACGGAATTAACCTCTGTCCGTTATTAACGGATCCGGGTGGCCACCTCTACCATGGCATCCTCACCCGCTGCCTCTATAGCAGCAAGTATGTCAGCAGCTTTGGGGACCTGCAGCATCGCCACTCATACCTCGCCCATCCACAGCACGCCCAACTCCCTCGTGACGTGCAGATCGCCATTCCGTGGGAAGCAAACTGCAGATCTCATCCAATAGTTGGCCAATTTATGAGCATTTGGTATAATTGGGTTGAAGTACGCCCAAAAAAACACGCATATTTAAGTTTTTGCCAAAATACCCATATTGTTGCGTGTTTTCGTTTAGTCCCAGCCGTATTTCCCAAGCCTGCTCACACCAACCACGACTCACATGTACCTGTTGGCATTCTTGCATGTGCGAGCCTGTTGCCGTATCGCCCCCCGAGCAAAACCTAACAACGACCTTCCACAGGCTTGCTATCCATGCTGTGGTACCATGCTGACACTTACATATTTATCTGTAAATAGATGAAAATGTACGAACTCGCATACTTACAATCTTTTTCGGACCAAGTCAACCATTTTACGCATTGTCACTGACAATTTATTAGCTCAACGTCGCCTCCAGCACCCCCAGCACCGCATCCAACTTGCTCGCAAAGTTTTACCGCGTGCACTACGAGAAAGCGAAATTTTTGGGATGCCAACTCTGATGCTATGGATATGTATTGATGCCACCGCAGTCAACTTTATGCGATCGCAATCACCGCAATCACCGTGATGTCACCACTTAGTGTCAAAATCGCATCACAGATGGCATCGCCAGCAATGTGCTCTTTGCTAGTTGTGGTTGAGCATGGAGGCGATTCTCACTAGTCTAGCCCCTACGATTGCCATTCACCATTGTGAATGTGGCCACGTATTCCTTTCATTGTACAGTGTACTTGTAGGTGCGGCTGTCTTTTAATAAAGTTACCAAGTGCCTTGTGCATGGGACAGGAAATGGCAGAGCTGGAGGCAAATACCTTGATGCCTTCACTGGATTTCTGCACAATGTGGAAAGTGGCGAGGACTAGCAGATTGGTTGCAGGTCGTTGGTTCACGCGACCAGGGTATTTGAGGCCCGTCTCTGTGTGGCTTTTAGACTTTTTCCCTTTCTTTCTTCTTTTTACTGGTTCTGCTTTGACATGGCTGCATGGGCTGTGTTCGCACCTTTCCGTCGGGAGCATTTACCCATTGGAGCCTATTCTGCAATCAGTTAGAGTTCCTTTCTAGTGGTGCTTTTGGTCAGTCAAGTGTTTCGCTGATGGTCCTTCCTCATTCTTTTCATCATGTACGTGTGCCAATACATCGTGAAAGAAGAATTGAATATGTTTTTACTCCCGTTATTTCCTGCAACTTGCAATGGGCTTGTGTTATCATGGGTGGACACATGTAATCCAAGAAATTTACTGATGCGCTTCAGCTGAGGTGCATATGACGCACACTTACGCATGTTTACGTGTGAGTGAAGAATTGTATAAATACATGCAAATGTCAAACACGTATGTGGAAATGTCAAAATTGGTATCAGCCACCTGTTGTTCAAACGCAACCGAGCTCCACTTATTGTCAAGCATGTTATGACATGGTGGCGTAATTCCCGAAGAATCAATAGTCTGACGTCTTCTAAATGTCGTTGAAATAAGGGAAAATGACAAAAGGGGGTCCTCTACGAGATATCTTGACAAAAGGGGGTCCTCTGTGACAAAAGGGGGTCCTCTGCAAGGGTGCATTTGACAAAAGGGGGTCCTCTGACCGCCCCCTGTACATTA